AATTCATTCTCTGCCAGCAGGTGGCGCTTTTCGCCATGAATATAGCCGTTTCCCCGGTAACCGCAGTAAACAAAGCAGTGCAGCACCTGACTTTGAAACTTGAAGCGCTCATACTTAATCAATTAAATAGCCTTTATATAAATGTACATGTATATTTAGTTTTTTTCACTGGACCACCACCTGAGTCTTCTCCTCCCATTTCTAACAGTAGCCATTGTTTCTTTCCCGCGGTACTCCCTGCACAGATATCAATAGAATCACTGGGCTGTAGGTTGCCAAGTTGAAGGGAAAAATGGGTTGAAATTTGTATACGTCGATCGTGTGAGAAAGATGCGTTTCATACAAGATCTGGCAACTGGACAACCTTGGAATTTGTTGTTGTGATTATTCATATAATGAGGTTTGGCCCATACAAATTACGGAAGTTTTACCGGAAGCGAATGTAGCATATAAAATACACCCAGTGGGATTTTTTTAATTTTTTTATAGAAAGATTAAAAATACGGGAGAAATACGGGAAAATATTTAAACGGGATGATAGCGGGATAGAATGGTAAACTACAGGAGAATCCCGGGAAAAACGGGAGGGTTGACAGGTATGTAAATGGATCCCAGCTAGCAATTTTTGGTTCCCATAACGTTCTGGGAATGTTATTTTTTGGTTCTAACAGCAAAACCTAGAACGTTTTGTGTAGGCTATTTTTAAGTTGTCACTAAACAAGAAACCTCCCTGTTGAATGGTTAGCTTTGGCGGGTTGGGTTACGAAAAAATAACTAACAGAGACCGTTCCCAAGGCATTCTTATTAATGGGAACAATCTGTCTTAGCTGGGTCTATGTTCTGTACCTGTTTCCCTTGTTAAAAACTCAACTAAAAAGGTTTGGTGTTGGTGAACAAATCTATGTGAAGAAATGATTCAAAAGATTCGATTCGCTGATTTGAATCAACCTCCCCAGCACTACCACCCACTTCCGAACTCGACTTGAAAGAGACAGATGGACGCAGCGCACATAACCCACCTCCCTCCCTCCAGCGTGCCCGTCTCTCCCTCTGTCACCACAGACTCTCCACCGATTCACCTCCGGCTGCCTCATCCAGGCATGGCAGACGGCTTTACCCCATCATGGCAGTGCTACATTACACCCTTGACTTCAAGCTCCGTGCGCCAGGTAAATTTCAGTGAAATGAAAGGGGGCGAGAGGAAGAGGAGAGGAAGAGGAGGGCTCGTGTTGAACTGCAGACATGCGGGCCTCCTCGCAACTGCTCCGTAAGCGATTTATTGTCTCTCTAATAGCAGCGAGGCTGCAGTCCCACTGCTGCATTGCCGAGACGGCCACGGGATGCATGTGTTATTGCATTCGTAGGGCTTCTTTTGTTGTGCATGTCCTCCTGACGTTTGCTCTGATAATTGACCTTCTGGGGGGTAGCATAGCGGTGTTAGCAGAGGCTAATGTCTGCTCTGTGTCATGTATTTGAATGAAGCTCATGTATGAACATATATATGCACTGACTACCAGACGAATTAGCCGCGGCGCATACTAACACAAATATTGCCTTTTTCATCTATTTTTATGAATGAACAGCGCGTAACCCCGTTATAGGCACTAGTCCTGTACGTATATGACATATATTTTTGAACTAGCGTTTTTTTTTCTGTATGTCTCACCTCCTATGACAGCCGTGCCTCTATTTCACTGGCTTATAATATCGCAAGCCGATAAGATGAGTATTCCATGATTGCATACTGCAGCGATCATACTTCGATATTACACACAAACATGCCATATCTGTTTTGTGATCAGCGTGACAGGGGCAGACTATCATGCACTATGATTTTGGATTAATATTAGATAAATTTATGGCTGCAAATCTGTATGTTGCAATTCACACTACTTTATAAACTGGGAATCAATATGAATCGGCTTGTTTGTGTAGATGAGCTTAACTAGGTTAAAATTGATTGTTTTGCAAGTTATCCTTTTATTCAAGAGCAATTTGAATCCTGCAATTAAATTACCGGTAGTTATCATATGAAATTATAATTTTGGGGAAATTACGAAATGTAATTTATTTGATTCCATTTCATTCAATTATTAAACGTATTTTATTCAAAAATGAAAATTATTTATTCGCTGTCATGCTGTTCAAAACCGATCTGACTTTTTTACACTTTCAGTGTAGAAAAGATGCAGTGAAAGTGAATGGTGACTTAAAGGTGCAGTAGGAGATCTTGGAAAATGCTAACTAGCCTGATAGCACTGAAAGCGAACGTCCCACCTTCCTGCAATCGCCGTCCAAAGCCATGCCCTCTGAACGCATATATGCTCACAGACCAGAATACCAGAGGACAACATTACTACAATAGGCTACATCAACGGTTCCCAATTCCAGTCGTCCCCCCCCTGCACATTTCATATGTATCTCTTGTCATGTGCGACGTTTGTTCTATTCGACCATAAGCGCCCTGGGAAGTGGACATCACCGGATATTCCGCCATCTAGTTCGAAGCGACTATGTTCCATACAAAGGGCATTAAAATGTGCGAGACGTAAATTTAAATAGTATTTATTTACAGAGGTACATTATGTCACACTTCTCTAGT